TTCCTACCAACAGTGTAGGAGGGTTCTCTTTTCTCCACATCTTCTCTAGCATTTATTATTTGTAGACTTTTTGATGATGGCCATTCTGATTGGTGTGAGGTAATACCTCGTTGTGGTTTTAACTTGCATTTCTCTGATGATTAGCGATGCTGATCACTTTTTCATGTGCCTGCTGGCCATCTGTATGTCTTCCTTGGAAAAATGTCTATTTAGAGCTTCCGTGCATTTTTCCATTGGGTTGTTTGAAAAAGCAAAAGTATGTTTAAAAAATCAAACTTATATTTTAAACATCTACTTGTAGTTCCCAAGAAAGATGGAATGAGAGATAATGTAAAAATAAAAATGGTGGTGATGATAGCTAACGTTTACTGAGCACTTTCTGTGAATAAAATCTTGACCTAAGCACTCATTTTGTATGTTTCAGAAGCAGCAAATTTCTGATCTTAGTTTATGTCTTATTTTAATTTTAATTTAAATTGTTTTAAACCTCAAACTGTGGAACTTACTTCTGCCTAAAATATCTCCTTATTTGAGCATAATGGTGAACCTACCTTTAAGACGCTAGTGCAGATAATCACGGCATCTCTTATTTGTGCGTTTACTATGTGCGGTGCCTGATAATCCGTTTTGTTATTCAGTCCTCACTACAGCCTGCAGTAATATTGATTTTCCCACTTCATAAGTTAGTAAACAAAGGGCCAGAGAGGTTAGTTATATTGTTCAAGATCAATTAGCTAAAATTCGGCTGAATCAGAATTCAAATCTAAGTCCATCTGACCCAAAGCCTGTGTGCTTCCCTAAACTCATTTTGCTTTCCCTTAAAACAGATGACAAACTAAACTTCTTACAATTTTCTTCTTGAAACCCTTTGGCCTTAATTGTTTAAGCCAATTTGAAGGTGAATTTCTCTCATCGATAGCCCTGAAGTGTGCGAGTCTGCAAAGAACCAGCTAGTCCATAATTTATAGCTCCGTGAATGTTTTGATTCCCATGTAACAGGAAATTCCTTCAAAACTATTTTCTTCTTTATCTGCACTAGTTCATATATAAAGGAATATCCTATGGCTTTTATAGTAGTACTTCCTCTGATAAATTTTTTAATTAGTAAATATGTTTGATATGAATATGTGTTCATCCTGCCTTTGTCCTAAAAAAGAAAAACTTGAGGGAGGGGAATGTAAGCAAGATAGAAAATTATTTTTTAAGAAGCTCTCTCTAGTAACCACGTAACAAGAAGCTATGGAATAAAAATTCCAAATACAGGTCTTCTTTCTTTATTCCACAAGTGTATTTTCAACAGTACTTAACATTCAGAGGCTTACATTATCTCTAGTCTTTATACTTCTGTTTCCCGCTGGGAGGAAGAGACACTAACATTCATCAGGCTCCTATCACCTGTCAGACATGAGGCTCTTCCCACACGTTCTCCTTTCATAAGGCATGAGGATTAAATTGCCCATTTTTGGACAAGCGAACTGAGGATCAGAAAGGTTTGTTTGCCTAAGATAACTTGTAAGTTGAACAAAGAAATAATTTAGCCCCAGAGAGTAATTTTTAGGATGGTAGAGGCTTAACCAAGTTTAC